AAGGTTTTGAATACATACATCATTCAGCGTAGGACAAAGGCGGGTTGCCTCCTCATACTTTTTGCATGCCTGTTCGAGCAAAGAATCTTTTGAAGGTGAAGTGGAATCTGGGCTTACATTATCTGCACTTTCCTGCATGAAAAGTCAAAACTAAGAATTATTGAACCATGAATAATTTCTATGGAAGGAAGATTCAGATCCTTTGATAAGTAGATAATGGGATTACTTTTTCTCAAATTCTTTTTCCTTATCTATAGGTCGTTCCTAGATAAAGCTTGCATAGGATGACAAAAAGAAAATTGCAAGACAATCAGTCCAGAAAACTGAGAAATCAAATTACCTGAAGAACCAGTGCCCAATTATAAAGCGCATCAAAATCTTCTTGATTTCGCTCCAGTGCAGTAGCATACCTGTACAAAGATCAGAACTCACATAGGCCTTCATGAAATCAAAGCTTAATATGTGAAATGTTTCTATGCAGTTCAGAAAACTGACCCACAAGAATTGTGCACAAATGCACTAACCAGACCGACAACAACATACTTGTTGTAATCCCAAAAGTGAAGAATGCATTAACCAGACCACAAAGAGAAAATAAACAAAGTCACCAAGAAACCCCACATTGACAGAAATGAGAATCTATTCTTGACAAAGACATGGAACAGATGCTGAAACTGTCGTTTCATACTTCAAAGTTTTTTTCTTCTTCTCCCATAAGATAGCAGTTCATTTTGTGGTCCTAGCAGAACATTTCAAAATATTCAATTGACTCTCATGTTTTGATATGAACAATCTTACACATAGCACTCAGTGAATACTCTATCAGATCCAGTCACGAACTACTTTAAAGGGGTAAATATCTCACATTCAGATCATCCATGGAGAAAAGTCATGGAAAACGGAACTCCCCATAAATTGGCATGTGTAACTTGGTTGGTGGCTAAGGAGGCTTGCCTAACCCAGCACAACCTACAGAGTACAGAGAAGGGGACTGTATCTATAACAGGTGTTTTTGTATGACAGTAATACGAAGATGCAAATCATCTTTTCATTCACTGTAAATTAATCAATTGGATATGGAGCATGCTATTGGATATATTTGAGGTGAAATGGACCATGTCAAAGACAATAAGGGAGATATTGATAAGCTGGACCAGAGGAGGAATTTGGTAAAGTTCAAAATTTAAATACCATAGTTCAATTGTATGGTGGATTCTTTACAGTGAAAGAAATCATTAGTATTCTGAAGAAAAGAAGGAAAGCATGATCAGATAGATACAATTGCTTTTGTGTCAAGTTTTGTGGAAACGAAATAGATACCATGTTAGACTTCTACTTTCATTACAGGATTGAAGAGGAACTGAATTTTGCCTTTTGAAATCTACACTCCCGGAACCCACTCAGTATTCGAGAAATCTCAATAAAATCATTACCTATCAAATAAATAAAAAAAAGGGGACTCGGACTCCTTGAAGAAAGTGAATTGTCTGGAGGCCTCTTGATTTACAAACCATAAAACTTGTCATGAAATTAGAATTTGGAATGCAGCCTAAGCCCAATTAAGATATGCAACACCATAACTAAAATGGTGCTAAAGATTAGATGTACCTCCGGGCAGCATATGTTAGAATCCGTTGGCGAGATCGGCCCTCCTCATCAGCACCTGTGACACTGTTAATCAACTCCAAGGCAGCATTACTTTCTGCATGCTGCTGACTGCTCTGTTGACTGGAGAACCAAATTCACAAGTAACAGGAAAATGTAAGTTATAGGCTTCTTAATGTTCAAAAATAAAAAGAACGAAAAAACAGTAGATGTCATGAGGTATTGAGGTCAAGCTGAAGTATTTGTGGTTGTAGAAGTGATTCAAAATAAACAGCAGAGATTACTCAAAAGATGATAGGTTGAATAAATTGATTGCATAGTTAAAGCAATCAAAATGCCTTCAAATGTCACATCTCTGGAGAACTTAGCTATAGGGAGCTATTATTTTAACATCAAATGGAAGTATGGAACTAATAATCCTTCTATCCCTTTCAAATTCAGATTCAAATTTGGGATTAGATTGATGTTACATCATCATGAGGTGTTAAGTATAGCTCTTATTATCAGAAAATGGTGTCTGAATCTATTCTCAAGGATCAAAACAGAAGCCTCAACTGATTTGAAACATGAATTACACAAGGCAAACTTTCAGCTTTTAACCCATGACTATGCCATCTAGGCACTCGAGATACTTTGAATTCATTTTGTGCTTTAGACATTATTTTTGTGTTTCATTATATGTACAACAATATCAGTGGTCAAAACAAGAAGGTGTGATATATTCAGATGCTGGCATCGTCATAACTCAAAAAACCAGCCATCATTTTCTTCAATCATGTCCATTTTCTTGTCAAATTTTGTTAGTGTTTTGTTTACTTTCATTCATGGTTATTTTCTCCAAGCGAGTGTGTTTTCTTGCCTTTGTGTCTGTTATACTATAATCTTCTTTACTTCTTCTCTCAATTTTTTTTTGTGCTTCATATATTTTCGTTCATGATCATTTTTATCAAAACCACCTGAACTTCGTTGCGTTAGCATCAATGACAGTTAACTTGGATGAGTATATTTTACAATCAAGGATGAATTCTACCATCGGACAAGACATCACCTTCTTCAATTAACTAGTTTTGTAGTAAACTCTTCTTTGTCTTTTATTTATCTTCATTCATGATCATATCGGCAGTCAGCTTATAGTTAACTTGGATGAGTAAGCTATACATTCGAGAATGCACTTTTACAACAGAAGCATCTGATTCAATCTAGCATGTTGATGATATTTTTTAGTTGATAAGTACACATTAATGATATTTTCAGTACTGCAATTGAAAGGTGCATTGCATTTTACAGAGAAGCCAGCGAACACAAACCTGTGAGGTGTGTCGCTTTCTCGTCTTTCAGCTTCAGAATCTTCATTGGCATCTCCATTCTTCAATTCATCCAACAACTCTCTCATTGTAAATGTTCGGCTACCTTCATCCTTTTTTAGCTGCTTCGAGTTACTTCCCGTTTCATTAGATTCAACAGTATCACCCTTCGGCTCATCCGCTTTGGGATCTGAATCATCTGAGTTGTTCGATCGGATCAATTCCGAGGCCTCTGCATTGTTCAATTGTACATCTCCAGACTGGCTAGAAATATCTCTCTCATTTGCCTTGGGATCTGCATCACTCGCCTCGTTGGATTTCGTCAATTTCTCGTCAGATTTTGAAGCCTCTGCATCGTTTGACTGTACATCTCCGGATTGGGTAGCAAATTCCTTGGATTCCTCGTGTTTCGGATCTCCAGCACCGTCTGCTGGCGCTTCCCCCGACAGGATCGCGGTGTCTCCTGGGTCAGTCACGGTGGCCGGAGCTTCTACTTCTTTTTGCAATTCCGTTTGGTCGACGGTTGAGGACATGGTGATAAACAGCGGAGGAGTTAACAATGGCGAAAATCTGTTTGAATGTGAATCTCCGAGCTAATGACGAAGTTCATGTGACAAAATTGGTTTTGATGCAAATTATAAGGACTAGTAAATCATAAAACAGAAAATGGTTGGGCTAAAGCAGCAAAGTTAGAGACTTCTGAGGTTTACAACAAATTTACTGAACTTCAATGGAAGGCAGCCTTATATTATGAACTTGGGAAAAGGGTATGATATACCTCAACTTTGTCATTTAGAAGTGATATATCTTCGTTATAAAAGTGGCATATATATACCCTATTATTATACAAATAGGTCACATATACCCTTTTCCTCTAATGGAAGTGGAAAAATTAATTTTAGTTTAATTTTTTTTTTAAAAATAAAATAAAATATATATATATATATAATTCCATATGGGTATATTTAATCCTCCTCAAACATATATTATTTTTAAAACATTTTTTTTGTTTCAATGACTAATTTAGATTTATTATTTTGATGGTCAAATTTATTTAAGTTTTGCTAATATTCTTGTAAAATTTATTATAGATGACTCAATTTTTTTCTTCAAATACAAAAACTAAATTACAATATATCCAAAAAAAATAGTTTTAAATTTTTTTCTTTACACTAAGGAGTGAAAAAATAATAATAAGAATAAGAAACTCAAATAATGATAATCAAGAAGTCAAAAAATAATGTATGTCCGAAAAAAATTAAAATATACCTTGAAATTTGCTAGAAAAATCATATATACCCCTAAATAATTTTTTAAAAAAAATCAAAATTTAAAACTATAAATTTAAAACTAATTTTTTCACTTTCATTAAATGAAGGGTATATGTTAGCTCATTTTATAACGGTAGAGGTATATGTGAACCGTTTGTATAACAGTAAGGATATATATGAGTCATTTTTCATAACGAAGGACATATCAGCTCCAAATGACAAAGTTGAGGGGTATATTTTTCCCGATGAACTTTTATGTATACTGTAACAAAATTCGTTTTCACCCATAATTTCTTGTAAAGTCAATTGTGTCCTTATTTTGCTTTCGATTTTCTTTTTTGATTTTAATATAAATAAGTATCAGTAGTATCATAGACAAATCAAATATTTACACTTACAAAGCACTCTGACCATTCTTCTAATTCTGCATTTCTAACAACATTTTGTTGAGATAGATGCATCAAATCAAGAACTTAGGACATTAAAAAATTAAAGTGATTAATGAGCGTGTTGAAATGAATATTAGATATTAGGAATAACGTGAAAGTGGTCTTTGTGATAAACTAAACGAGAGAAACAAGATTGAAATGTTTCAATCATGTAAAAAGAAGAGGCGCAAGAGGTTGATCATGAGTTTGAGGAGAAATAGACGAAAAAATATTAGAAAAAATAATTGGATAAAGTATTATGAAGGATACAATTCTACTTAAAATATATAGATATCGAGAATTAGTTAAATATTGAAGTAAGAAAAATAGTAACTACTAATATTATTATTCACATATTATCTACTTATTTCTTATAATACATATTGTTTTCGCTGTATTCGTATTTTTTTTTAGTTCTTACACTCCATATTTATGTACAGTATTTGTTATAGCTGCACCAGTCAGCACCACCCATCTTCTTCAACAAGCTACAAACCAATTTTAAAAAGCAGAGTGAGCGGTGGGGACAGCTCCCACCAAACAATGGCTAGAGCCACCATTGGCTCAGCCACTCCTATCTCCTCCTCCTTCCGCCATCTCAAAAACCTCTCTAATTCTTCCCCTCCCCGACACGTCACCTTCCGCCGTTCTAAAACTATCTGCGCCACCGCAATGTCGGACGGCAAAGTTCCTCATCCATCACTAGAAGTCACAGGCGGAGCTCGAGACAAGTTTCTCTCTGCTTTTAAATCCCTTCATAATCCATACAATCCTTATCCCATCGTCGCTGGGAATCGCCATATAGAAACTATTTTTGCAGCTTTCTTTAGGTCCGTTCCTGACGTTCGTCTCCGGCGAGAGTGTTTGCGGACTAAGGATGATGGCTCCGTCGCTCTCGATTGGGTATCCGGCGACGATCGTAGCTTACCTCCCGACTCCCCGTTGCTCATTTTGCTTGTGGGTCTTCTTTCTATTGCTTCATTATTGATAGAGACTAATAATTTTTGGCAATTTTCAGTATGACACACACATTGGCTTTGGATTCTGGATTGTAAAAGTAAGGGTGTGTGTGTATAGAATGGAACTGATCTGATGAGAGTAATTGCAGCCAGGTCTGACTGGGGGAAGCGATGACTCGTACGTGAGGCATATGCTGCTGAGAGCTAGAAATAGGGGTTGGAGAATTGTGGTATTCAATAGTAGAGGATGTGGAGATAGTCCTGTGACAACTCCCCAGGTACTCTCATCTTGGTCTTTCATTACTTTGGTTCATTGATACATTAATAAAGATTTGATCTTTAATTTCTTCCCCACTGATAGTGCTATTCGTTTTGATGTGATTTTTGGTGGAGTTTGGCCAATGTTTGTATCTGTTAATCAGACTTTTTCGTTAAGAAGAGATAATTGTTGGTATGGTTAGTTGATGGGAATTGGCAGCCTTTTTTGTGGACGGTTGATTGATCTTGTGCTGTCCATTTGACTCCATTTTTTGGGAAGTTTTTGTTCAACTAGTTAGGTGAACAACACTATCAACTAGATCCCTTCTGCACAACTGCCAGTCAACAACCTTGCTCTGTCCTCTCTTTCTCCTTCCTGCTTTGTGTATATTTAAGCATCACACCATAACCTGAATTGCTGCACCTTGCAATACAGAGCTTTTTCGATCTTATACCACTGCAAAATGGCCAGCGATAAAACATCATGCCAAGATGAGCGTGCAGGAGCAGAAATTGTATATGGAGTTGAAGATTGCTATAGTCATTCTCTTGAGCTCCTGAAAGAGTTGGGATTCCCCATGGGTGTCCTTGCTCTTAAGGACCTTGAAGAATGTGGCTGTGTTCGTGAAACTGGATTTGTGTGGATGAAACAAAAGGCTCCATACGAGCATTACTTTGTCGCAACAAAAACTCTAGTTAGCTATGCCACAGAGGTCACTGCCTACGTGGAGAAAGGAAGAATGAAGAAAATGACTGGAGTTAAGAGTAAGCAGCTATTTCTGTGGGTGCCAATAGTTGAGATGAGCATTGAGGATCCTGCTCAGAACAAAATTCACTTCAAAACTCCTATAGGAATTGGAAAGTCTTTCCCCCTCACTGCTTTCATGACTGACGAAGAAAAGAAGAAGTATCTGGAGAAAGCTAACGAGTAGAACAATTATCTATATGATTGCCCATTTTGCTTCTTCTTTTTTTTCTGGCTCAGTATATTTTCTGTACTTTTTTTTCTGGCATCAGTGCATTGATGCCCTTTTGTTTTAAATCTGATTTTCATATGATTGCTAAAAGAATGATCTTTATGAACCAAGTATAAGTTTCTGCTTCCATTGCATCAATTATTAGACTAAAACTCTTTAAAGTTGATTATATCTATTGCTTATGCAAATAATATTCACTTGGACTTTTGTTTCGGAAGGGCTCAAAAATTTATCTTCACAAAATGTTGGTTCCCCTCCCTTGCTTGACATGATCCGGTCTCTTTCACCAAGTGATTTCAAAAAGGATTTAAACCATAGTCAACGGAAACAAGTAAGAAAGGTTTTCCAAGTCCCCTATAGTTCAACTACGGAAGAATTTCCAATAATAATCTCTAAATTCTCAATTTCCATATCTTTTGGTCCTGGATACTTTTCTTCATCTATACACCTTCAAACTCGCAATCTAGCTCATACCAGAGTATCAGAGACAGCTTTTTGTTCAAGCTGTCCTAGGCAAAGTAGGAAATCAATGTGTATTTCCATTTTTCGCATAGAAAGGAGTTCTTTGTTACCCAGTTCTTGATGTGTGCTGTAGACTTTCTTAAGTTTGATTATCGTTATAGCTCCTCATTGAACTTCTGAATTTTCTGATAATTAATTCCATTATTATTAGTATCATTATAGCTCCATATTATAGCCCCATTTTCACTTATAAAACAAAATAATTAACTCCATAATTTCCAAACTTGGTCAGCTTTATTTCTCAAATAGTACTGGCCAAAGTATTCTAGATTTTTTAGCTTGTCAATTTGTTAAGAGGAAACAAACAACTGGTCATGAATTGATCGAATTAAGGTGAAACATTAGTTTAAGATATTACTCTTCCTCTTCAAAGTAATGTCGAACACAATCATCTTTGCCGTGTAAAAGTTATCTGTTCATTTTTTATTTTTTTTGGTAACAAATGTAAAATATTACCATACCATCAAGGAACAAGTACAAACTAAAGAGCACCTATTTCCAAGATCAGGAACTAGGCCTCCAACCAAAACAAACTAGTTACAAAGTAAATGCTGAATAAAAGAACTACATTTCTGTGCTTTCTTGGAATGACTAACTAATTTAACCTTTCTATTGTCTCCTTCTTTATCTGTGTTGCTGCCTCTTTCGTATTTACATGCTTTCCTTTGAACTAATTTATGCAGTTCTATTCAGCTTCATTTCTTGGGGATATGTATGAAGTGGTGGCACATGTCAGCAACCGCTATCCAGCGGCAAATTTATATGCAATAGGCTGGTCTCTTGGAGCAAATATTCTTGTTCGCTACTTGGGACAGGTAACTCAATCAATTCACTTTGTGCTTATCAATGTTCCTCTTCCGTTTGTCCTTGTACTGATCTACCTTGCATCTTCAGTACGAGCTGTTCTAAAGAATATCTGGTATGAATATGATGCTATGGTGAACTTGTTAGCATATTTAAATTTAGTACTGAAATTCTGCTGAGCATTAGTGATCTGGCTAACATCATACAGTTTATTGAGAAAAAAGTGAAAACTCTATATATGGATGCTAGCGCCTAACATAATTACATCATAGAGTATGTTGAGGAAAAATGTTTAGTTGTGTCCCAGTTATCTTTTTCTCAATCATTTCTTGTGCTTAGTATAGCTGAATGTTTGTCAATGGAATTGGGTTTCATGAGCTTTCTGATAATTAGACCATCTAGTAATGGTGTTCCATTTTTCTTATAAAGATCGTGTATATTGGCCAGCGTGTACGATCTTAACTATTCCACCGGATATTTTCTACCTCTCATTAGCACAAGCTCAGGTAACTTTGTCCACCAAGACTTAGGAAGATGGTAAGACTGAGTCACTGAGATCACCTAATACTTTTTTCTGTTGGGATTTGAACCTTGGTCTCCAAGGTTTTCCACTTTATTAACTGCTATCCCATGTTTCCATCGATATGGCTTATGATTCTTCATCCTCTGAACACCCCAAACTCTTGTTTATTTTTAATGTGTTTTGAGTAGTTCAATTGGTTCAAGTGATATGTGAGACCGACCTTCTGAAAACCTCATTCCATTGTAGCCTGATTTAAGTCTACATAAAAAGGAATTCAATGTTGCTGCTTAAGAAACTAACTAGAAGGGAATGTTACAGTAGCATGTATTACCTTCTTTTATCCCAAGTAGATCCTTGAGACATCTCGATAAACACTCATTGAACTAGAATTTTTTTTTATTAACTATATTGAAAGTTATCTTTGGAGTCACTCTACAGTCAATATCTACTGAGAGAGTCAGCAGTAAATGGTGAATGGACATGTAAAGTTATGCCATAATCTGGTAGCTGTGGTTATATACGTGCGTAGGTAATTGAGCACTGCTGTCTCCATCCATTTGTCCTGGGTCAACATTGTGCTTTCTTTGTTCTGGATCAAAACAACTCTTGGAATTTTTTTTGACTACCAGTTGCTGTATTTGTCTTCAACAATATTGCCTATCAGTTGCACTATTTGTATTTTCAAAGACAATCTATAGGCAAATGATGTAATAAAGTCGGAATGGATGGAGTACTTGAATTCTTAGAAACTGCTTTCTAATGATTTATTTGTTTAATGATGCATCTACCGTCAATTTAATTAGACACAATAAAGGTGGGGGTGCTCGACTGATTGGTCACAAGTCTGTAGGCGTTCACTGGAGTTGTTATTTTGGTTTGTGTTTACCTTTCAATGATTCAATCCATTGCTCTGAGTTCATTATTTCAATTTATCTACTTGCAGGAGTCCATGTACTGCCCATCTCTCATATTTTATTTGTTTCATTGCAGGAATCTCATTCTTGCCTTCTCTCAGGTGCTGTTTCCTTGTGCAATCCATTCAATTTGGTCATTGCAGACGAAGATTTCCATAAGGGCTTTAACAATGTTTATGACAAAGCATTAGCAAATTCTCTCCGCAAAATTTTCAAAAAGTAATTTCATAATTCAGTTTTCCTTTTTTGCTCGGGATACATTTTACCTCTTTTAAACTAGATCTCTTGTTTATAGGCATGCTCTACTGTTTGAAGATATGGAAGGCGAATTTAATATATCATTAGCTGCCAATGCCAAAACTGTTAGAGAATTTGATGATGGACTGACACGAGGTATTTATTCTTGTATGTAGTAATAAAAAAGTTGTATATGATTGCATCTGAACTTATCAGTAATTGCCTTCAACTTTGCAGTTTCATTTGGATTCAAGTCTGTGGATGATTACTATTCTAACTCGAGCAGCTCAGATTCCATTACAAATGTCTGCACACCTCTGCTTTGTATCCAAGTAAGTTTGTTTCAGCCATTTACTCTCCATTGTTCTTTTTTGTTTGTGGTTATTTATCGTACTTCAGACGCCATTTATAGGTCTACAGTTCATGGTCAGGAGAGTTAAAGTGTAACTCTTCTTGGACAAAATCTGAACATCATATCATATAAGTTAAAATTCCATGTAATAAAGCTGAAACTTGAGAGAGAATATATGTTTAACTTTGTGTTTCCTTTAGACAGTACACGTTTGTAGTTATCTGTTGTAGGATTTTTCCCACATCACAGATGTACCTTTATGCAATTTGGTTAACTTACTATCAAATAGACGTTTCACACTTTTCATTTTAATACAAGAGTTACTTTTCTAGATAAAATGCGAAGGATTTTTATGAAATGTAATTGGGACCAGATTCTAGGAAAAGCATTGCACTAACTACTATTGCTCTCTAAGATATATAGAGTAGAGAATCACATTTCTCCATATTTGACTCTCGGATCTTCATAGGAGACAGACAATTTGTCTAGAATATTGCAATGACATAATCAAAAGTCTCATTGTGATTTAAAGAAATTCCATCTCTCCTCAAAAAAAAGAAAGGAGGAAAAGCAAAAGAGAGAAAGGAAGGGGAAAAGAGAGGGCTAAAAAATATAGAAGTAGTTTTGCGTAATCAACTTATCAAAAAGGGACTATGCTTGTTAAGACTCTGTAAGTGGTAACTAAGACAAAATGCAAAGTTAACTTACTCTTCTTTATTTGTGGAGGCTGCAAATGATCCAATTGCTCCAGCCAGAGGAATCCCTCGTAAAGATATTGAGGTAGATACTATCTTCATTCTCATAGCCCATTTTATTTTGTTGATATTTTCTCATTGTTTGTTGATGTGCATATGCAATTCTGCCAAAAAAATAAATAAATTTGGTTATTCGTGCAGTTTCTTATTGTTTGTTTGTCAAAGTATTTACCAAGCAAGGATACTTCCTTAGATTTTGTTTTCTTCATAGTCTCCAGACTCCATTTATTCATTATAATTTATATGGATCAGTCAGGCGAAGCACTGGTAGTTTGTTATACTCTCAGTCTGCTAGATTGGAAAAGCTAGATAATCATATTAGAGTAAAATATTCAATTTTACTTTCTGAGAGCTTAAATCACAAAGGAACAATTTTAAGGATTATGTTTTAAGTATGAAGAAAAAAGACATTGGCAAGTGGCAACAAAGTAAAATATGCTTAACTCCATCTCATTTTTATCTAATACATTAATAATATTGCATCTCAACCTGGATGTCTTCTTGACTTGGCATGTGTCTCAAGAGTGTAGCTAAATTAAATGTCTTTGGTGGTATATGGAAAGGCAAGTTAGGATCCAGTAGTGACTTATTGGTTTTCTTATTTAAAAGGATCAAATTGTTTCTGGATGAGTTATTTGGCCTAATTTAACTTGTGTGCTTCAAAAAGTATAGAAGAAGGCTATTTTCACACATCATACATTAGTTTTAGAACAAAAGATGAAGGTGGATATTCTTGGAGGGAGCATCTTTAAGTGTGCACTAGAAAGACTGGCTAATGACCCTTCGGGGTGGCCCAGTGGTTTGAGCTTGGGACGTTCCAGTGTTGGAGGTCTCAAGTTCGAACCCCCTTGCCAGCGAAAGCAAAGGGGGTTTGCCTTCTGGGTCGAGCTCGTCGCACCAGGCTTGCCTAGTGCGGGTTACCTCTCCTATGTGGTTTGCGAGCTATTGCATAGGAGCGGGGGGTTTTTACCCTATGCGCACCCAAAGGGTAGCGGCTGCCGGGTTTCCTTGTCATCAAAAAAAAGACTGGCTAATGACCCTTCGGGGTGGCCCAGTGGTTTGCGCTTGGGACTTCCATGTTGGAGGTCTCAAGTTCGAAACCCCTTGCCAGCGAAAGCAAGGGGTTTGCCTTCTGGGTCGAGCTCGTCGCACCAGGCTTGCCTAGTGCGGGTTACCTCTCCTATGTGGTTTGCGAGCTATTGCATAGGAGCGGGGGGTTTTTACCCTATGCGCACCCAAAGGGTAGCGGCTGCGGGGTTCCCTTGTCATCAAAAAAAAAGACTGGCTAATGACCCTTCGGGGTGGCCCAGTGGTTTGAGCTTGGGACGTTCCAGTGTTGGAGGTCTCAAGTTCGAACCCCCTTGCCAGCGAAAGCAAAGGGGGTTTGCCTTCTGGGTCGAGCTCGTCGCACCAGGCTTGCCTAGTGCGGGTTACCTCTCCTATGTGGTTTGCGAGCTATTGCATAGGAGCGGGGGGTTTTTACCCTATGCGCACCCAAAGAGTAGCGGCTGCGGGTTTCCCTTGTCATCAAAAAAAAAAGACTGGCTAATGACTATGATCCTCTAAATTAATATGGAATACTCTAATTTATGACCCCATCTGTGGGATTACACGGGGTATGTTGTTGTTGATAGGTCGAGTGAAATTTTATTGATACAAGCCTGCAATAAGAAGATGCTGGCAAGAGGGGTTACAACCCAGTAGTTACAGTGCAACCTATGTTTAAGGATAATTACGCTTTCTTTTTTCCTTAAAAGTTTGATGAATCTTTTCCTTCTAGATAGTCTGCCAAATTGCTGTAGGAATTGAGTTTCAAGTGTACCTTCGCATTGTTCGTTTGATCCCTAAGGTGTTAAAGAAGCCCTAGTACAAATTGTAATCAACACTTGAAACAAATGCATTCTGGAAGTAGGTTGATTTGGGTTTGATACCCTAATTGAAGTTCATTTATCAAGTGGTGCCACATAAATTGGACAAAGGGAGTAGTGTCTTAGTGCCTTTAGCTTGTTGGCATAAAGAAGTCATCACATGATAAGTTGAGACTTGAGACCACTATAGGAGGCTCAACTCAGGGGTAGAATCTACAGTATAAATAGTGAGGGGGTTCAACTGAATCCAGTAGCTTCAGCTGAGACCCCAATATACGTGTTAAAAAAACATTAGATAGGGACAAATAATATGTTGTGAAGCAGAAAATCAAATGAACTATGGGTTCAGAAAATCGCAAACCCATAAAGTTCAAATCCTGGATCTGCCTCTTGTTCAATTGTATGAGTGCATGCACAATGTATTTAGTTTGTGCTTGAAGACATACATTGCAGCTAAGCTTTGTGTTGTTCCCTCAGGAGAACTCAAACTGTATGATGATTGTAACCCCTAAAGGAGGCCATCTTGGTTGGGTGGCAGGTCCGGAAGCACCACGAGGATGCCCATGGACTGATCCACATGTGATGGACTTCTTGGAGTATATAGAACATGATAAATCTGCTTCAGCTGCATGTGCTAGTAATCAGGAGACTATGAACAACGGTATTACTGAAAGATTCCAACACCTTGAGGTATAGCAACAAGGTGTCGAATTAGAATATTCCATCATTTTGATATAGGCACATATCAAGCACTGTCTGATGAGACAGTAATGTATGTATCATAAATCGTCAAATTTTGGCGAGTTCATGCTCTGCAACATGGAGCCTATTCTTTGATTATCCTCCACACATCCAAGAATTGTATAAGTCATAGTGTTGTTTGGTGAAGCTAGTCAAGAACAATCCCTTAAGGAAATTTTCTATTTATAGATTGCTACGGCCTGCGAAGTGGTCGATGTTGTACTCTAGTAACTGTAACTGCAATTCTATGCTCCTCATTGAAGATGGAGTTAACTCGGCAGAATTAGTTGAGACTAACACCTTCTTTGGATGGTTGTTATCTGTTGTATTGAATTGTGTTGCTAGTTTAAATACAATGCTTGTTTTGATTGTTACTTAAACTCTGTTGTATTGCATTGTTTAAATTCATCTTAGATAGCAACAAAACAAAAAGACCGATTTCATGTAACAACTGATTTAGTGTTACCTTAAGATTTTCTTCTCATTTTGTATTTATTTATTATTTAATAATTATATTTTATTTTTTATCATACCTTTTCGTAGTAACTCTACCCGTAGTCCCGTACCCTTCTTTTTTGGTACATTTATCATTCAAATTATGGATGTGTGACATTATATAACTAACAACGGAGAATGATGTAATCTATCCAAACATTGTATTCATTAAAATAGTATGATACAATATAATATAATATAATATAATATAATATAATACATCATAATACGATATATTATGAAATAATACGTAACAACCGTTCAAACAAAGTGTAAAATTTTACTAAATACTATATTCTACATATATGGAAATCCGTATTGCCTCATTGTTATACATGCATAGTATTGGGTCGGATGGGAGGTTTTTGGTTAAAACAGGTTGGGTTTTATCATTTCTATTTTTTTTTTCCTCTAAAAATCAAATCAGGTGTCACGTCATTAAAAAAGGTTGTCAAATATATCACTTTTCGGCATGAATGATATTTTTGAATGAAAAAAAAAAATGTGACGTTTTAGGACAATATAATAACCCTAGGTGGAGTCGTCAACTAAATTTGTGCTTGCTTGTATTATACAACATTCTTAAAAGTGTAAAAACTCATTTAGTGGATAATCCCGATTAGAGGTATATTTGTTGTGGAAGAGATAAAGATGATGACAATCAATTAGGGAATTAATGGGAAGTGGGAAGCACCTAATTATAAGTTGTTGGTCATTCTTAATTGTATTTATCAAAGTGGGGTAGACTAAACTCACAATATGGACAAAAACCTTAGCACTTGCAAAATTCAGATTAACATGTGCCTTTTTATCTGGCTCAGATTCATCTTCTTTGTACTAATAGACATCCTATTTCTTTTGTCTTTTTTTCTTGTTCCAAGTTATACGGATAACGTCTTCTTCATAGAAGTTAGGTGAGGCATTTTAAAAAATAACAATAATTGTGGTGTTCGAGTCATGCATTTCAATTAATTCTACAAGATGTTTATAATTATTTCTTACAAACAAATATAAATAAGAATAACTTTATTTACTAAGACTTGAATAATGAGAAGAAATTACTACTTAATATTTTGTATATAGTAAAATTTAATTGAAATCTTAATTAGCCTCGAATAGATCGATCGGAAGTAGATGAGTTGGCCATGATAAGGAAACGCACATCCTATTGTAATCCTCCAGCTAATCCAATAGAGCTTATCCATGCTTATTTAATTTCTTTTCCTCTTTTTTTCCTATACTAGGACTTTTTGAATATTTGGATTTTTCTCGTTCCTTCTCGAACCACCCTACAAGTAGAGGGACCATGAATAATAATTAAATATATACTGAGCTCGTTTACTCTTTTGTTCTTATCTGAATAGGGTGGTAAAAAGTATATAATTGATGTGTTTATATACACAAACATAAGAGATTATGAGAAATTAAAGTTACGCTTCAATCTTAAACAAATTAAAAATTAAAATCAGTTATATGAATATTTTTAATTTTATTGAAGTTCATTTAACATCGATAATAAGAAAATTCGAAAAGAAAAAGAACGTATACTAGTGGTACTAGTGAATTCTTCCTTCAAAGTCAATTCAAAATTTCACATGTCAAACAAGATTTCGTAGATCATCAAAAAATTGTACAAGATATTGTTTATATGAAGTTCAATTTTTTTCCTTGGATGTAGCAATATTACTTAAACAACATATATATATATATTAAGAACAAAGACGCGTGCCATTTGCTTTTTCAAATAATATTTTCTTGTCTTTATAGAATCAATTAGTATTCTGAAAAAAGAAAATAAACTACATACTACTCTTTTAACTTCCTTCTAAAACTGGTATACAATTTTTTTTTTCCTTTTCTTTCTATAAGTCAATTTAACAATAATTTGTTTGAGATAGATTGTCGATATCACAAAATTCCAACCAAAATTATATTTTTGGACTTTTGTACAGATAAATAGTTTTCGTTTGCAGTTCAATATTTTGATTTTTATCATTATATATGTGGAATTTCCTTGTCCGTAGACGTAGACATACATATATAATTATTCACATAAATTACTGGACGATATTTACGGTGTACGATCTCGATTTTTATTTACCTAAGAATTTAAGTTATATACTACTACATCATTACTATATCGAATATTTTAATTCGTGTAATATAATTTCCAATTGTGTGTTTCATGCGTTTCAAAAAATGTGTCCTGCATTATTATATTTTTTCTTTCACGTTATTAACACGATTTTCTTTTGGTTCACTGAATGAAGGAAAATTGTATGCTTGATAAATGATAAGCTGACTTTTTTACGATTTGATGGTCGTAATTAGCATATAATTAGTATATGCACTATATCATATTTTTTAAAATAAATTAATCAGAATTAATGTAAAGCTGATAGCTTTTAATATAGCAAGCATTTACATTCAAAATGGTTGAACTAATAATAATTTCTTCATCCCAGAGTTTCAACTGATCTTTCATTTTTTAAATCTAACTGGGAAATAAAATGTAAACCTTAGAAATTAAATATTCTCCATGGCATTTCGACCAAAATAAAAGATGGACTGAATTACGAGTAATATATTTTTGTAAGTTAGAGTAATTTTAACAATTAACATCATTGATCATAAATGAAATATCAACATTGAAATTATCTTCTCTGTGTTGCTTACACATTTGCACCCAAAGAAAAATGCTACAAC